ATCCAATGTGAATCGCCACTTTCGCACAGGCACCGCTCTTAGAGCGCCTCAAGGCGTTTCCTGTAGTGCTCGTGTTTTGTCATGTTCACCTCTTCTTCAGAATTATTATCCTATTAAGGACTCTCGTAATTTTTCGATTTTGTATTAAATAATGTCAAAAACTTTTTGAAACTCACCATTCCGTTGTCTAATCCCCCATAGGGGGGTTGAAATCCAACTTTTTCTGAAACAAAAAAATAAATTATTGTAAATTGTATTATTACATCGATGTTGCATCAATTGATAACTCATTAATAAGGTATCAAAAAGTTTTGTATGGCTATTGATGTCACCATACCTTCGTTTTCTATGACAAGGGTCTATCTGAAATTTAATACTACCATTTTTGTCAGTAAATATTGAATGGCTTCTAGAGAATATGTAACTATGAGCCGTCCAATAGTACCTATCGACAATTTGATCAATTAATGATTTGACAAATATAATCAATAGTTGAATCTGTCAGAATTATTTCAATTATTCACTCTCATTTAAATAGATAGCTGGCTATAAGGAATGTAATAGGTGTTAAAGAAACGCGTCTAGAATAAAAATTTTATTTGTAAAAATTGCTCAATTATTTTCATGGAATAAGCAGCTTCATCACATAATAGTACAATGTGTAAAAAGTGTTTGAAGTGCTTCACGCAAAAAAATCAATATAAAATTAAAAACATGTATACTTTCATTAGAATTTTGAATTTAAAATTTTACTTTCAAAGCTTCATTAGCGGAATGGTTTTTGTTCAAAGAGTTCTCAATATATCCTTTCGCTACGCCGGATGATTTCCAAACCCCCGTGTTGCCCAGACTTATTTGGTACCTACATCTGCCAGATTGGTGTTTGAAAAATAAACATTTTTTCCGTATAATTTTTAGGATGCAGATCCATTTAAATGTTTGTATGTATTTCTTACTTCCTTTGTTTTTTGAAAGTAATAGATGAGATTTTACTTCTTATTATTTTTCCCCTGAGGTTGCGCTGTCGGGCCCTATCCACGATACATTCTGGAGGGCGCATCAGCATTAATAACCAAGTACCACTCCCCACATCGTGGGGTGAGTGATCATTGGGTTCGAGAAGCATGTGCCCTTAGCAAGCGCAGTGAACCAAGAATGACAGCCTTCTGAATTTGTCCGGCTACGATTTCTGTCTTACTATTATTCCATATTTTCTCCGTTTATCCAAATGTTTTATTATGTTGTTGACTTTTCTTGTTACGTTAGTTTTAGTATCCCGAAGATTCACTACTATAACTTATCGTGTTTGCCACCCATAAAAAGATCGTCTCTATTAAGTTATTTTCCTGGAAGTTATTACAATTTAATTATTTACCATATGGTAAATATGTTGGTAGGTACATAATCAAAAAATGTATCCAACTTCCCTTAAACTTTCTAGGCAAAAATACGAATCGAATGACACCTTGGTTGTAATTTTTGGACAGGGCTGAAAAATGTCACCAAAAAGAGCTAAATCGAGTACATGTGAACCAGACTAATTGTATTGTTCCCGATGACAGTTACCATTTTTTCCATTTAATCGTCTTCGTATCTGTTACGGTTTAGAATATAGCAATGTATCACATGATAAAAGAAACGGCCTGTATAGTAATAAGCTGAAGAGACAAAAAGAATTAAATTTGGAAAAAATGGACAGCACCAATGTATAGAGAGAGTACAAAATTCTCTATCGATCAGTATACACCACCACACAGTAGAATGCATATTTATTTAGATATGGAGCTACAAAAACACATGATATTAAAACGGACGAAACTCTCCACATAGATTTCAAAATCAACACCTTTTTAGACAGTGTAATTCCGAATCTTTAACATTCACACCAACAATTCAAACTTCTTTTTTTCATTGATTTTCTAATTTCGTGCTGAACTCATGCATTGATTTTTGAACGAATCGAAAAATGTAAAAGAGAAAATTTCAGGAAAACTATAATCTTGAAACTGGAATGTGAAACGGCTAATATTCATTCCCATTTCACGGATATAAAACGATATAAAAATTACTCGAACACGTCCCATTAGACGGAGTGAATGAAAATGAGTGTTTCAAACTACCAAAACAGAGTTTTAACATACAATCGTAATTACTGGAGCTAAAAGACGGTTGGCTATCAAAGACAGATGTTCGACGTTTTCAGCCAGGGGCGTACGGTATGGATATGATACGACCACCTCCTGTTTTTGCGTCAAGAAATCATGCATATAAATTATATCAAAAATTTAAGATATTCGAACTTAATGACGCCAACATATACTAAAATTGTCTATAATTCCCTTAATTTAGAATTCGCAAAAACTTTCCTAAAGTTACATTTGATATACCGGATCAGTTGTCAAAAATTGGAATTGAAAATAATAGTGGAAAAATCAAGAAACTAAAATATGAAGATAGGTGATGCAAAACCACGAAAATAACGAATTGAAAACGTGTAACTCATATTCATGTCTATGGTAGTTGGAAAGAAAATCTTTACTTGTTTTTGTAGAAGGAATAAAAGTCGATCACAATTTTGTTTGAACAACTGATAACCTATGTTATTTTCAAAATGACATGTACAGAAACGAATTTGAATAGCCCTGTAGAATGAGTCGAAGCATGCAGACACTCTATTGAGTCCTGATAATTGAATACCCAACTGAATCCCAGTGACTTCATTTCTAAATATTATTCTCATTGGTTCTCTGTAGAAGCCTCAAATATGCTCAACGGCCGTGTTATTCCTCTACTATTTTGTTTGTATCGATAAAGTGAAAAACCTCTCTCGGAAACTTATATAAAAAAGTAATCGTTGATTGAGAAACGATAGTCACCAGTAAAGCGTGTATTTTAAACTGAAATTGTGGAACGTATCTCTGTTCTCGTATCGATTCGCCATAAAACGAACAATAAGAGAACATAGTCCTCGGTTCTATTCTTTTATATTACTTCTTTGTCCGAGAAAATTCGCCGATTAACGAAATTTGATGGATTAACTTTGTCCATTCATTTATCGACAATGCCATAAAACTGGAAGCGTCGCTTCGGAAAAGTTACGAAGAAAACGGCTTCGCTTTGAATCCTGTCTCAAAATACAGTTTGCATGAAGCCGTCGAAGATGAAAATCGTACTGCCTATGTGGACATAACAAAACAACTCACGAAAAAAAAAGTATTTTGTGAAATACCATTAGGATAAAGATAGGAACGGAAAACTTCCAAAAACAGGGGAAAAAACAAATAGCAATAAAAACCCCTCAAGAAAATGTATACATAAATCATATATACTGTTTTTATACTGACGAGAAGAAAAATCTATCAGAAAAAACTTATTCTCTTACGAATATA